GCTCTTGTGGCCCCGTCGCCGGCGGCAGCAGCAGCGGCTGGTGAATCGCCGCCACGACTCCACCGTCTTGCTGGACCAAATCCAGACGCCGGAGGTGATGCCCACCACGAGGCACATGAAGTACTTGAGCATGAGCACCCAGTACTCCGGCTTGGCGCGCGGCTGGCCGGTGTCGGGGCCCGGGCAGGCGCAGGTGAGCGCGGCTTCCCAGCTCTCGCGGTAGTGCTGCTCGTACAGGTAACAGGCCACCACGATGCTGGCGGGCACGGTGTAGAGCAGCGTGAAGATGCCAATTCGGATCATGAGCTTCTCCAGCTTGTCCGTCTTCGTGCCCCCCTGCTTGATGACGCTGCGGATGCGGAAGAGCGACACGAAGCCTGCCAGGAGGAAGAGCGTGCCCACCAGCAGGTAGAGCACCAGAGGGCCCAGCACGAAGCCGCGCAGCGAATTCAGGTTCTGGTTGCCCACATAGCAGATGCCAGCCACTGGATCCCCATCCACGGAGCTCAGTGCCAGTGCCGTGATGGACTTGACGCTGGGGATGAGCCACGCGGCCAGGTGGAAGTACTGCGCATAGCCTGCGATGGCCTCGTTGCCCCACTTCATGCCAGCTGCCAAGAACCAGGTGAGCGACAGGATGACCCACCAGATGGAGCTGGCCATGCCGAAGAAGTAGACCAGCAGGAAGACTACCGTGCAGAGCGCAGGGCCCGTCGTCTCGTAGTGAATGTGGCTGTGCTCACGGCTGCAGGCGACGCTGGCATGGCCCACGACCAGGCGCACCAGGAAGCCCAAAGACACGCACAAGTAGCAAGCGGACAGGAAGATGATGGGGCGCTCAGGGTAGCGGAAGCGTTCCATGTCTATCAGGAAGGTAGCCACGGTGGTGGAGGTGGAGATGAAGCACAGCACGGACCACAGGCCGATCCAGAAGGTGGCGAACGTGCGCTCGTCGGGGCTGAAGGAGGGCTGGTAGCAGGGCACCGCGCAGTTGGGTACCTGGCCCGTCCGCACCTTGTTGTACAGCGGGTGCGACTCCTTCAGGATGGGCACGAAGGGTTCCCGGCACTTGCACACCGACGGGCCCCCAGCGGCGCACTCACCTCCCAAGGAGGGTGCCCCCGGCGGGCCTGGGAGGGTGGGCTTGGCCGGGAAGAGCCTAGGAGGCACCGTGGTGGCCTCACTGCGATTGTAATCCATGCACAGGACCTCGGCGTCGCGCCCCAGCACGGGGAGGCGGTCGCAGCTCATGCGCTCGGGCCACGCGAAGCCATACTGGCGCATGAGCGGCGAGCAGCCGGCCTTGGCGCGCTCGCACACGGAGCGGCAGGGCGGCAGGGGCTTGTGATAGTCCGGCAGGCAGATGGGCGTGTACATGGAGCACAGGAAGAAGAGCAGGTCCGGAGAGCAGTGGATCTCCACCAGCGGCCAGAACTGGTGCACCTCCAGGCCCGCCTCCTCCTGGGTGTCGTGGTTGAACTGGTTGGGCATGTGCGTCAGGTTGTAGCCGATGCCGCGGCACATGGGCACCGTGATTTTCTGGCACACCGGGGCCTTCGAGGCGGCCACCGCT